GTATCACCCAGGTGAGCGTTCGCGAGAGGACAACGTCGAATCACTGGCAGGACAGAAAAGATGGCTCGGAACGAGCACCGCCTGGTCGAGTCGACAAATACTTGGGTGTCGGTTTGGGCGCCAGACGCGGAGTCGCGTCAAAAATCAGCGTCACTCGGCACGACGGGCCGACTAGCTCTTTCGGGAACGGAGAGGGGCAGGGTTTAGCAAAAATTCGGAATACAGGCTGTCCCTTGACCTCGCAATAGGATGCTCAAATAAAGGAAAGAGAGTTGTAATTAATCAGCACGAATGAATAGTTAATGGACAGTTTATTACGCGTGTTGAAGGGCAAAAATAATATAAAAGAAATATTATAATATAAGAAATGGTGGAAAGAAAAGATTGGTTACAAAAATAATATAAGAGCAAAGATAACAGGATTGATAATAAAGACAAGAAATATATGAGAAATACGAAAAATAGAGGTAAATAAAAGCTACGGCGGTAGCATCCGAAAATAATACAAAAAAAAAGACACGGAGTCCACAACGACTTACAAGAATTAACAAACCGTGTCACGCAAGTTAACGAGACAAATTAATGAATTGAAACGACACCGCAAAAGTACTGAACGCGATGCGGTACTCGAGGATTCCAGCCGAAAGATAACAAGCGCAGGCACTAAAATATAGCAATCGCGGGGCGCAAAGCTAGGAGCAGGCTAAACGGCTAGAGAGAGTGCAAGCAGGTGTGCAGGGCAAACACTAAGCCGCAATGAAATAGCGTGCAGTCGCCTTTTTACAAGCCGTGACTTACTTGTTACCTTGCGGATCGCAATTTGGTCGACTGGCTCACTCGGCCACGCAGCTTTCGCCAATTTCGTGTCGCTAGGCCCAAAAGATTAAATCGAGCCAATTTCTCAACCTACGCACATGCACTCGAAAGAATATACTCGCGATACAGAGCGAAGGAGGTGCGACGTCGGAGTGGCTTTTCCCAGTTGTTGATCACAAAATGATTAGAAACGCTTTTTACTTTGGCGTCAGGAAAATCGGCGACACGATACGTTACTCGACCGCGAATAATTCCGGACAACTTATACGCTCAAAAGGCGACACGCATTCACCGTACGCTCGCTAATAGTTCGGCGATAATTGTCCTGAAAATTCACTATCCGAAACCGTCGTTAATCCGCACGTTAATTCGACACAATATTCATTACCGATCCACACACCGCTTCCGACTCGCACACACCTNCAAGAAGTTATCTCCGCCGTGGAATGCGCTGTCGCATGCAAAACGTAAGATAAGGTGTACGGTGGTCGCGTGGTCTTTGTCTCGCGCGTCGAACAATAGGCGCGAGACGATGTCGCGGTACGTCGGCACAATTCGCGCCGTTAATTCGGGCGTTAGCAAAATTATTATCACGTTAAATTCGCTATTAATAATATGAGCGCATTCCGACGGTAAGAACTAGCGAAATCGGCACAAAAATAGACTCCGGAAAACATGCAAAAAAAAAACAGACAATAACATACGTACGAATGACGAGCTAATACGCCCGGATTGTTGCGATCGTGGCACGCCGAGAGAGAGCAGCAAAACTTAGTAATCGCGGCAATGATACAATTCCGCATTTACACAATTGATACACAACATAATAATCTTGCATCGCATAAATGCCTCACGGGATCGAGCTGACTTAGATCGTACAGAATCGATCCGTGACGGCAAATCGTTCGGTATGNGCGCGAGAGAGAGAAAGCGATCAGTCACTTACGTTCGACGATTCCCCTGCTTTTACCCGCGCCTCCGGCCTTAGTTCGGCAGTCTCCTCCTTGGACCGTCCCAAAAACTCTCCACCTAGGTCCCCTCGGATCTCTGTCGGCACTTCGGATACAGGGCACGGCACTTTGGAGAGGCGACGCACTCGCGTGAACCACGGCTCGCACAACAATGATTTCG